ATTGTAGTGATGATGACGGTAACGATAACGGTAATAATAATAATAATAATAATAATAATAATAATACAGTAGTATGATAATGATGATAATACTAAGCTGTATTATAATTGCACTTAAAATCACAATAGGAAATTGTATGGATTGAATTAGGAAACTCTTCAATACCGCAGTTATTCGAATAACCCCCCCCCCCCTTAATTTGAATAAACGCCCTTCCAGATCCTCATTTGGAATAAACGCCTCCCCCGAATAAGCGACCCGGGCGTTTAGTCTTTCCTCGAATATACGCCCCCTAATTTTAAACGACTATAAACAAAACCAGGGAACAGTTACCTGACAAAACTAATGGAAGCAACATCATCGTCAACAGATTCTGTAAATGTTTTACACCCGTAGAATTATATTTTTCCTTTATTATTACGCATTAACACATCTGACATAGTTATGTGTTGTAGTTCCACATATCTGAATTGAAAATAAGCGGCGTTTATTTGCGTAATACGTATCGTTTTTACACCAAACAATATAAACGTCCAGGGAAACATCTCCCTCGAATTAACGCCTCCTCAAAAACCCTTTTTAACAATAAACACGATATTTTTTTATCATCTGTATTGTTGTTTTTTTCCCCTTAATTTCGAATTAATCATCGTAATTCATTTTATTAAGCAACGATGATTAAATTAAAAATATCAGAATATTGGTTTAAGACCGGTGTAACAAAGGTTACTGCGTTGTTGATGTCTACAGTTTAGAAATTACATTGCTAATATGTTATTAATACAAAAGATACTTAATGGCTATTGCTTTCCAGGCATTTGGATTCTTTTAGAGCAATACCAAATCATTTACTTTAATGTTCGAAGAATAATGAAGTCAACTGATATTGTTTACGGATATAATTTATAGTTAGGGCATCCGCTGGTAGAATCTGTTGTCAGCGACCGACCTACATTCATATTTTGAAAAATTATATGGAATAATAACTTTATCAGTGCCTAAAGCGACAACATTTTCCATTTTGAAACGGATTTAAAATCTGTTTGAGTTGAAGCCTTGCATAAATATGCATAGTATAACTTGATAAATTACGAGAGCATATTACAGTAGATGACGCAGTCTAGACTGGTCATCACAAGAGTGTATGCACGTAGACACAATCAAATTTGATTTGGTTTTCCAGTTTAACGATTTGTCTTCGATTTCTGCTTTCTTGCTCACCATCGTCATACCCTTATTTAAATACATATCATACCCACATGTACATGGGTGGATGAGCTTTTCAAAGTCAACGGCCAACCATAGACTAACGTTGTTTAAGGAGTAGGAGTTTATTTACCTACACATTATTTTGATTTGATATTTATTATTATTATTATTATTATTATTATTATTATTATTATTATTATTATTATTATTATTATTATTATTATTATTACTATTACTATTATTATTATTATTATTATTATTATTATTATTATTGTTATTATTATTATTATTATTATTATTATTATTATTATTATTATTATTATTATTACATATAAATACACATACATGTCTATCAAAGAATAAACTGCTTATAATAAAAAAACAAATAGGAAAATGATGTATGAAGTAATCAGTTTCAGAAATAAACCTGAGGCTTAACACTTAGAACACACTTAGAATAAACGTGTATACAATGCTATTTAACACAACGTATAAAATCAAAGCCCAAGTTAGCTGGAATCGTATATTTATTTAATTATTGTTAAATGAAAAATACCAAAAAATATTTAAGAAATCAATTTTGAAATTACTTGTTCATTTTGAAGTAGGCATTATCAATTTGAACATACAAATTAGTGAATTGAAAAATGTTTACCCACAAATTTTTCAGCGAAAAATAAGAAACACTTCCAGTCACTTGCTTTAAATACCATCAACGTGATAACATTTACCATTTACATGCTAGACTTCATTCATTTGCACTCCCCTCCCCATTTTACCCCTCCCCATTCAACACCTTTCTTTAAACCCCATCATGGGGTGTATATGTTCCTCCTGGGTCTCTACCTTATATAGATTCCTGGATACAAGCTTTCAAACATTCTTCTCAAAATATACAGGTTTATACTCAAAGTGTTATCTTGTCTGTGAGAAATCATTGAAGTTTAACTGAAAATAGGCGGAGGTGGGGGGCTTTAGTAAACGGATATAACTTTTTTTTCCCTAAGTAGGATTGAAGAGGAGTTTTCACATGTTAAAGAAGACATCCGTGTGCATCGATTAATAACAAAAAAAAATCTTGGTTAACCATTTTTTCCCTGTAGCCCAAGATTTTGACCTAAATCGACGAGACTATATCTTGATTATTATTATATGTTACTATTCATTTCTATCAGTACTTAACGCCCTCTCGAGTTCACCATAATTATGTAATGCGATGTAGCTGACGGTTATTTGAATCTGTTCAACCATGAAGCCTCTGTGGTCTAATGATTATGACGCTTGCCTTGACAGCGAGAGGTTGCAGGTTCGAATCCCGTAGGAGGTATTTCATTACACATTGTATCAAGTTACAGGACAGCATTCATATATTATTATTATTACTATTATTATTATTATTATTATTACATATAAATACACATACATGTCTATCAAAGAATAAACTGCTTATAATAAAAAACAAATAGGAAAATGATGTATGAAGTAATCAGTATTTGTGTCTAGTTGTTAAGAGAAACCTTTATTTTCTTAATTAACCTAATAATTTACAAGTCCAAATCCTCAAATGTTTGAGTTTTTGCTTAACGCTGACAATTCACTGTATCTAGAATGATTTAAAAAAAATAATAAAAATAAAATAAAAGCAATTCTTTACCTTTAGGATAATGTTTAATTTACTATTTTGCATTTTGTACAATTGTATTGTTTTCATGCTTCTCTGTTCCTGTACAGTGTGAGTTTCTCTTTTACAATAAATTGCACATTCTCACATTTTACTAACATAATTATAGGCTTATTAATTTTTGCATTAGTATATACATATCGTTATATATATACACGTAGTTATGTGAATACAACTAGATGTGTATAAGAGACAGGTGTTATCTTGTCTGTGAGAAATCATTGAAGTTTAACTGAAAATAGGCGGAGGTGGGGGGCTTTAGTAAACGGATATAACTTTTTTTTCCCTAAGTAGGATTGAAGAGGAGTTTTCACATGTTAAAGAAGACATCCGTGTGCATCGATTAATAACAAAAAAAAAATCTTGGTTAACCATTTTTTCCCTGTAGCCCAAGATTTTGACCTAAATCGACGAGACTATATCTTGATTATTATTATATGTTACTATTTATTTCTATCAGTACTTAACACCCTCTCGAGTTCACCATAATTATGTAATGCGATGTAGCTGACGGTTATTTGAATCTGTTCAACCATGAAGCCTCTGTGGTCTAATGATTATGACGCTTGCCTTGACAGCGAGAGATTGCAGGTTCGAATCCCGTAGGAGGTATTTCATTACACATTGTATCAAGTTACAGGACAGCATTCATATATTATTATTACTATTATTATTATTATTACATATAAATACACATACATGTCTATCAAAGAATAAACTGCTTATAATAAAAAACAAATAGGAAAATGATGTATGAAGTAATCAGTTTCAGAAATAAACCTGAGGCTTAGCACTTAGAACACACTTAGAATAAACGTGTATACAATGCTATTTAACACAACGTATAAAATCAAAGCCCAAGTTAGCTGGAATCGTATATTTATTTAATTATTGTTAAATGAAAAATACCAAAAAATATTTAAGAAATCAATTTTGAAATTACTTGTTCATTTTGAAGTAGGCATTATCAATTTGAACATACAAATTAGTGAATTGAAAAATGTTTACCCATAATTTTTCAGCGAAAAATAAGAAACACTTCCAGTCACCGGAAGTGTGTTTTTATTATTTTTTAGTCAGGGTACACATTTTTAATTCAATAATTTATATGCTCAAGTTAATCATTTGTATATGTACTTCAAAATGAGCAAGCTCGTTTCACAATTGTTTTTAATGTTTTTTTTTTATTTGGTTTTTTAATTAATTAATTATTTATTTATTGTTTTGTTTTGTCAATTTCAGAGAACAAAAGATCTTTAGAAACAATTCAGGCTTCCTTAAATATCAGAACCGAAGTTAGCTGCGCTCGACCACTCAGATTCACCACTCGAAGAATTACGAATGGATCTTGCTGAAAAATCGACAGAAAATTACCGGAAGCTCTATATATTCCTTCTTGGATACGTTTGGAGCCGTCTTAAATTGGTGGGGTATAATCTAATCTCACATAACAATTTTGATAAGGCCTGAAGGCATAATACTATTGTAACCTGTATGAATTAATTTTCTGATTTAATGCTACAAGATAATCTTATGTACACGGTTGTACCGGTAATTAAATTTTTAATGAATTTTTTAAACAATAACAAGAAAGAGTGGCCTACTCTTATTTACATCAGATATATGCTAGGCCTTGCAATATGGTATTTGATCAATTAATTAAATGTAGGGTGTGAAATGAATTTGAATCTAATTATCTTGCTGATAATAAATCTACGGTCTTCATTGCAATGATTATTTCTAGATTTTAAATTGTTAATTCATTATTCATAAATAATTAATTAATGAATTATTAATTATTATTAGGCCTATTATTATTATTATTATTATTATTATTGCTTTTACAGTATCGTTGTCATCATCATCGTCATCATCTACATCATCATTATGATTATCATCTTCACTATTTATTGTTTATCTTCAAAAATCCTACCTTCAAGAATATTGAATACAGTTATTATTTATGTCTATGTACACATCAGTGGTACATAGAATGATGATGAACACAATATTACAGATATACGTTCTTTAAGCTGTACAAAACACATGGAAATTCAATAAAAATGCTAAATATAAATCGATAAGACAATGATAATATAAAAACAATTCAGTTACGCAGATATACAGACTATTTTATTCGAAAATCCTTATGCGAAGAATGGTATTGTCTTATTTGTGTCTGATGTTAAGAAAAACTTTTCTTATTGTAATTCTTGATCAAAAACCTAATAATTTTGCTTGAGTTTTTGCTAAAATGCAGACAGTTAACTGTATCCAGAATTTATTTGTGTCTAGTTGTGAAGAGAAACCTTTATTTTCTTAATTAACCTAATAATTTACAAGTCCAAATCCTCAAATGTTTGAGTTTTTGCTTAACGCTGACAATTCACTGTATCTAGAATGATTTAAAAAAAATAATAAAAATAAAATAAAAGCAATTCTTTACCTTTAGGATAATGTTTAATTTACTATTTTGCATTTTGTACAATTGTATTGTTTTCATGCTTCTCTGTTCCTGTACAGTGTGAGTTTCTCTTTTACAATAAATTGCACATTCTCACATTTTACTAACATAATTATAGGCTTATTAATTTTTGCATTAGTATATACATATCGTTATATATATACACGTAGTTATGTGAATACAACTTTTATGATCTAAATTCAACCATTACCTTACATTAAAATGTGTTTTTATAGCACTTATCTATTTTAAATAAATGAAACAAACTCTGCAAAGTTGATACATAATACAAGGCGAAATCATCCATATATCATATTGGTATCAAATTGTACAATAGTGTGTCTGTGTTATTGAGTCGCCAGAGTGGTATCCATGTTCAAGTCGGCCTCGAGCAACTTCGGTGAAACTCGCCGCTGGCTGGCGTCTAGTTGATTATATCCGTCTTTTGTGATCTTGGTGAGATAGCCCTAGGCTTAGTTGTGATTGTAGGACTCCGGACACTGGTAAATATTAGCCAGACAAAAAAAAAAAACCAAAATAAATAAATAATAAATACACAATTTAATGTAGACAATGAATGTTTTTAACTATATCGCAGAGAAGAAGATAAGAAACAAATACTGTACAGGTAAGTGAATTGAATTATAAATGTTATTAACAACTGGCTCAAGTTATTTGTATGGTTATATTAAGACGCATGGGCAGATTCAAATATTGGGGTGAAAGGGGGTGGGGGGCGACCGGGCCAATTAGACCTACATTAAAATTTAAGTCTAGGACTGCTATTTCATGACCATCTAGAGTATTATTATAAATGTGTGTGCCTTCCCTGGCCCTCCCATGGTTGGGTAGAGGGAATCTGGGCCCTCCGCTTGTAAGTAGAGTACTTTCATAGGCTCCCTCTATTGTTCGAATTCCTGGATCAGAACTGGCACTATTAAATTTAACGAAGACTTTCGAAAATTTATTTAGAATCAAGCGTGGTAGTCCTAAACGAATTCATGTTTAATTATTTAGGGACACGCCGTAGGCTACAAAACATTGTCAAAATGACTAAGCAACGAGGAAACTTGTCGAATGAAAAGATGTTTTAATGGTAAAACAAGTCAAACCACAATAGGGAGATATCGCAACCTTACACGAAAAAGTAACGAATACGTCATTATCATTATCATTATCGTCATTCGTGCCTAAAACATTCTTGACAATATGGTGTACAAGCTGAATATGATCCTTGCTTCATGCAAAAGGCATGAATTGGCTACGTTGTGCCAGATATGTTACTGTAGGGAAAGAGTTTATAACAAATTGATGACGTAACAATTTTCGTTATCCAAAAACCGAAAGGTCCACTGATTAATCTCAGATAAGAAAGGAGGGGCTTATAATGCATACTCCAAGTATTGAAATGCACTATGGCGTGCTTTTCAATAGGTGTACTTGGAATATGTAGGCCTATTATACTTTCATATCCGCTGCCATATTCGTAAGCTTGCGACACTCTTTAATACTGCAACACTCTATTTTACGTGTATCAAGTCTGCTAACGGTATAGTAGACTCACTTCTGTTACGATAGAATGGCTTCTAATGTGTTAAAACTGTCAACATGCTTAAAAAGGAAACTTTTTAGTGAACGTACCTAAACGTGTTATCTCAATGCTGAATCACCGCCGCAATGCTTTGGGCAATTTCTTATACCCGTCTTCCGACACGCGGCCAAACACTCTGCATTTCGTTTCACTTAAAAAGCAAAATAAAAATTACTATGTGTCAACAACAATTTTTTCAAAGACATTGTTTTGTGTTAACCAGGAACAAAACAATTTCTGGATATTAGATATTTCGTCAAAAAAATATAAACAGAAACCAGATGAATTATTCCAAGAAACAACAGAATTAATGGCCGCTTTTTTTTCTAACAATCTGTTGAACACTCCGAAACGAAGTGTCGCATCATCAGATGTCTGGATGAGAATGAAAAAGGATAATGATGAAAATTTTTAATTTTAATTTAGTTCACATATCACAATGCAAAACAAGGCATTGTTGTTATATTAATAATGATAATAATAATAATAGTAATAGTAATAGTAATAATAATAATAACAACAATAGTAATAATAATAATAACAATAATAATAACACTAATTAAGATTTAAAGATGTACCGTATTGTCAGTCATGAGCTAAATATATTGTAAAATGTTTTCCAACTTTATCTTTGTTACAAGATTTTTGAATGAATAAGCCAGGCATTAGCGCATAATACTTGATTGTAATTATGATTAAGGTGGAGCAATACAACAATTGCAGATTAACACGGCTTTACATGGAATACAAATACCTGTAGCCATACTAGATTTGCAATTATGAGATAGGGCATACTTACCATTTATTATGCCGCCACGTTCTTCAAATGGGATCATTCTTAATAGACACGGTAGGTTGCAGTCAAGCGCTGAACAACAAATACAAATATAGTTTATTTTTATTACTGAAAAAATATCCGATATGATTATATTATACGATACGATAATTCTTTACTGCAATGTATTTCAATTCTTATAAATTTGATATCACTAAAAACAAAGCAAGGCAAAATTCCGTAATAAAACAAATTATGTTATCATATTGTAGATAATATCATATCTTTTATCATACGGTTTATAATATATCATTTCATAATATAATTCAATCTATTTAAATTTTTTAAAGATCCGCGCGCGTCTTATTGTTTAAAACGCTAGAACATTATTATATTGTTATGTATAATTATGTTATGCTTCGGAAAATAGAGTTGTTCATGTACAAAGGAGTGTAAAAGTCATGGCTTCCAATCGGATTTGAATTTACAACTCGCTCCAGTGGCCCAGAAAGCGTTGCATAAACAGCAGAAGTTCCTTGTTCGATCCGTTTACACAAATTCCTCTTTAACGTTCAAAATGTATATATACTTTATAATATATAGGCCTATATACTTTTTAATATTTTATATATAGGCCTATATATATAGGCCTAATACAAGTTCCTGTATTATTATATAAATGTGTAGGCCCTATATATGTTCATACATCTTTAACCTGTATAACAGTAATTACATTAACAACGCGCAAAGTAGTTCAAATCGTCAATTGACCTATTCGGACTGTCATTCAAACTTGACAGCTTACCAATCAGATGGTGTTATATAGATAGGAATATCCGCATGTCCCACAAACAAGCAAGTTTGCTTACGTTTACTACTTTGCTTTAAGTTCGCATGACAGTCGGCCGGCGAATCCAACTCCGACGACGCGACGCCGTCTGCTGATTGTCGATGGCTGTCGGAAAGGGATCGTCATTAAAAACGACCCACTGCGCGCACGTCGTGGCGTTGCGTTCTCCATAGAATCGCGTCGGCAGACGACCGTCGGAGAGCATTGAGTGTTCGGGTACACAATCTACGGTTTCTTACCTGATGTAAGACTGAAGTTTACGAAGCACACTGCTAAAAGAATACACACAGATAAGCCTATCCTACTCATTATTGCAGAGGCGCTGAGATGTTTACGGGTATTTTGGCAGTACACACCTAAGTAGTATCAGATCGTTATGAAGATATCGTAAGCTGATTGGAGCAATTTATAACCGATAACTTGACGAATGGACTGTAGCATTATTTACTATTCATTGATTAAGATGCGTCTTAATCACTTGGTTATAGAACGCACATGGAAAGGAAAATTATACGTGAAGGCCAATCAGAAAAGATAATAACGTCTAGTGAAAAATTAAGATTTAATTTTATTCATTAGATTATTAATACAATATGCAAATGTTCTCGTGATAATCTTAAAACAACGAAGGTGATTGAGTTCACAGGACATCCACTCAAAGTGAGCTGACGTCACAGAACAGCTTCAAAAATAGTTACTGATGCTGTACTGATGTTTGGGCGTAGCAACAATACGATATTCATAATTCATAATAATAATTTCCTCAAATAGAGATTGCAGGCAACCAAGGGAAGTGTTCACAGTATAACCTTTGGCTACCACATACCATACGCCACAGCAATTTAATCTCAGAGAATTATAATGTGTAAACTAATGATTTGATTGAGTAATTGAGGAGACTTGATACCTCCCTGGATACAGATGCGTATTCTCGCTACCATGACAAATGAATCAAATTATTTTCCCACGTCTCAACCAACAATAAAAAGTAACTGAATGTAACGTATAACGAAATGTAATGTTTAAGCCTAAAGCCCCTTCCAGACTATCAAATTTTATTTGACAAAACCATGTGACATGCCTAAATATGGTCATGATGACATCACATACCATATATAGACCATATATAGAAACGTCATGACTATATGGGCACACAACAGTTTTGGCAAAGAAAATTTGAGCCTTGTCAAGGTACCGTAACTGATTGCAATAAATTATGTTTCAAAATCCCATAAGCATTGCTGTTCAGAATACCGATGAAATACTATTTAATATAATATAAATGTATTAAGGATAGCCCACGAAAGTCTAGAAGAAGACTTATTTCCAGTGGGGTCCTTCTGGTGGTGATTGGGCAGTACACCAGGAGACAATCCGCTACTTTTTTCCGAAGAGTGCACTGCGTTCTTTAACGTGCACATGGGCCATAGATGCACACGGGACCAACGGCTTAAACGTCTCATCCGAAAGATGGTGCGCTATTGTAACTTGTATTTCAGCCATCCAGCAGAAACACAAGGAGAGGTAGCGATGGGAATTGAACCGGAGACCTAGAGATCTCCACGGTTCAGCGCACACACAGTGGCTACCACCAGATTAGCCGACTGAGATATATTTAATAAATTAGTGTAATCCATATAAGTAAACGACGAATATTCTTAGTATTATAGTAATGCCTTATTCAAAGAATAATATGGGTCATTACCAGTTATCTATTTTAGTGACCGAAGTCATATTCAATCTTATATACATAATTCATATATAGGATATTGTTATTTCCTACATTTTTGTTTATTAAACTACAGGATTATTGGTATGACGTTATATTTGTTCAGTTTATCGGTATGACGTTATGTTTTCTCGTGTGTCAATTATTTTATGGCAAAATAAATGTTTTGTATAAATACCAGTCTATCATCTTGTTCCCGATTAATAAAGTGTAGGGCCACGTGTTTAATGTTGGTGTATCTGGTTATCTATATCACATAGGTTTCTATTCTATTCCTTTTATTATAATTGTAATGTACTTTAAAATAATATTGATATAGGTAAAAGCAGGGAACAGTTAAATTTCACTGTTCCCTGGTAAAAGATACTCCAATAAAAACAAATTAGGCCTATTGAGAGAATCAGGAAAACACTATTTAAAGAGTTACCAAACCTTTCTCAGTTGTTTTAAAATTAATGTATAGAATTGATTAAAGAGATGAATTTGGTATAAATGATTTTCTGTGACAGTGTCAAGACATGGCACATATAACATAATCCCGGATCTGTTATATTTAAATTCTCTATAATGGGTGAGTATATTTTACTTATTATGGCGAGTATCGTCATTCATTACTGCGTTTAACTTATTCAACACATTTTTTTATATTATCTTCGGTCATGTTTAATTCTAAACAAATACATCTCCGGACGGCTTACTTTAATTATTTCATTATTTTTTCTATTTTCTTTTTGTTTAACTCCAAGTAGTTCGGTCAATAAAGATTGATATATTTTTGTTTCTCATGTTTTAAAAATAATATTGGATGAATTTAGGTTTTGATCGTTAGTTAAATTACTTTACTTTGTCTTTTAAAATTTAATATTAGTCATGTGTTCAAATATGATAGTAACATGTCAGATAACACTCTTAAATAAAAGTACTGGATACAGCCAGAATGCACGAGCCATGAGGCTTCTTCCATTGAATGGACCTCTATATTACATTTTTGAATACTCATTCATTTCAATTAACGGAGCATTTCTTGACTAAACCTTGTCTGGTTAATTTTTTCTTTCAAAAGTGGTTTATATTAGAGGTTATTTTGTCACTTGGGCTTTAAAAAAGGTGCTAACGGCAGTTGGTAGAGTACTTCGAAAAACAGGTCTCGAAATTAGAGGGTCTCGACCTATATAGGCCTCTATATTATATATAAATATATATAGGCCTATATATATACATATAGGCCTATATATACATATACATATACATATAGTACTAGATATATATTGCTGTAATATATAATATACAACATTTGGTTCCAGTTGCTAAAACACTAACAATAACAACATTATTGATTCATTTGGTTCCAATTGCTATAAAACTTAACCATATTAATGATTCACACATTTATAAACTGAACACAGAATCAAGTTAAAAGGAAATGAATATTTAACTCTCTACATTAATGAAGCAAATTTCGTTTGTCTAAATTGATTTATTAAGCTCAACCTTTGATATAGAGCACTCTGCCCAGATGTGTCACCGTTGTTTTCATCGGTGGTTTGAAAATCCCATTTTTGTAGCTTCAATCGCCTTTCACTTAAAGAGCTAGACCTATAAAGCAAGAAAAAAAAATTAAAACAAAACCAAGGAACGTGAGAGTTCATCCGGAATAAAGTTACTTACCACATTGAATGTTGAATTACATTAAGATGGCAAATTAAAATATTCTAAAAGTATCAGTTAACACTTTGAAATTGTAGTCACTAAAACCGTACATTACGTCAACTGTAATCAAGATTATAAGCAAACTTTTTAGCGATAAATTTAGAAATTCTTATCAATTATAATAACATAAATACTTAATCTAAGAAAATATATAAATTGAAACGCAAGAGAAATTAAAATAACTCAGCCTCCAACGGGGCTCGAACCCGGGACCATTCGCATAAAAGGCGAGCGTCATAACCACTTTACCACTAAAGCATTGTGGTAATTTAATGCAGGTAAAATCTGAATTCCTTTCACGTCACGATTTTGACTTATGATGGTACATAAAGTATAAATATAACTTCCAAAAAAATAAAAAATGGTATAGGCCTATTAGGGTCTAGGCCCGTTGCCACCTGGCCTTTTGCCACCCGGCGCGGGTGGCAACGGTTCTAGGTGGCAACAGGCCTAGGGTGGCAAAAGGCCGGGTGGCAACAGGCCTGGGTGGCAACGAGCCTAGGGTCGACAACCCGCAGGTGTCTACCTATGAGGACGACGACGGCAGCGGCGGCGGCGAAAGACAACTAGCTTTGGACGCACGAATCACCTGGCGGACCTTCCGCGCTTACAAGTTCGAAAACTCGACGGTCAGTTTCGCGTGCCCGACGACGTCCTGAACGCCGACGAGAACGAGATGGTTGTTTCGTTCGACATTTTCCTGCAGAAAGAACACGCAGTAGCAGGCGTGTTGTACAGCGTGGGATTTCCCGACTCCGTGGAGTCAACGGATATCTGCACGTGAAACTCGAAGTGGGAGATTGGTACATAGAGGTGATGAACGTGCGAAAATTACAAGCTGTCTCTTATACACATCTAGATGTGTATAAGAGACAGCCTAAAGGGGCTACTGTAAATGACTCAGATCAGTATTTATATTGCAGCTGCATAGTTGCTTCAGTTTTCTTACATACACTTTTTAGGGAAATAATGGAAGGCCAATAAGCTTAGCTGCCCCAGATTTTACATTGAAAAGAAAGGAAGGTCAATTGATTAGCTGCTTCAATTACATAATTTTAACATAATTTTTCTATAAGCGTCAACACATCTACGTTTGGGTTATGGCGTCTGCCACCCTTATTTTATTGTTTGGTTAAAGTTCAATACCAGTGTTAAGTAGGCCTAACATTCAGCAGCACGTTAAGTAATTTTACCTTGTACTTAAACATGCTAATAATTCAATAATAACAATAATGACAATGATAATAATAATAAATGCGATAGGAAAGTTTCCATCCATTCGTGTTTACTTTATAAAAATTATATATATATATATATATATATATAATATATATATATAATATATATATGTATCAAATATTGTATATTTTCCTCAATTCCTTTTTTGACTTATCATTTATCTAAAAATGTGTTTTCATCTCAAAACACATTATTTTCATTATCATCTCTAATTATAAGTCTCTAATTAATGTTTTTTTTTCTTTTTATGTTTTCGCCTTTTTTATTCCAAATAAAATTATATATTAGATTTTCTGCTTAAACACATACATATCCCGATACATTTATAGCTTGTGCGTTGTATAATAATAAGCCTAGTGACTTCACAATGGTTACTTTTCCAAACATTGTGAAACTTGGTTTTGTCCAGCTATTTAATTGGTTTTCTAACTTGCATATTTTTGTCCAATTCATTTTTTTCACATTCTTGTTTATCATGTCCTACATAATATTCCAAGTATTTTTATTATGTTTTTGTACATTTCTCTATTTTTAATAAAATCATTTCTGGTTTTTAGTTTACCAAGTAACAATTGTGTTACAGAAAATGGTTGTCATCTGTGAACCGTGTTAATTTTAGCTCACAATTTTTGTTTTTATTAGCCGGTATTGTGTTTAATCTAATTTTGTCATTACGTATATTTTTTGATTTACACTGCTTACTTCTATTTTCAGATAAATATATTTGGCTA